ATATATATATATATATATATATATATATACTTGCTGGCAGGGCAATTAATAGAAATACTTGTGATTTTCCACCAAAAGACGTTACAAATTTTTTATTATTAATCTGATTTTTTTTCTTTTTATTTTATTCAACTTCATTTAGTAACGTTTTCTACCCATTTTTTAGCTATTTATGGTAGGAAACCGTTACAATTATATTAATTAAATGTAACCATATATTTTTTACTATTATATTATATAATAGTTAGTATTAATACCAACTAATAATAATTTACACTAAATATTATATAAAAATTACATAAGTATAAAAAAGTTACATTGCAAATATATACTTTTGTTCTTTATTCTAAAATCAATATTATTATTTTTTAATTATTATTTTGTATCACGAGAAACAAATTTATTTACATAAATTAGCTAATAGTTAATAGCGTAGTCAAACCACCTTAAAATCTTATAAACAGTTATTGTTGTAATAATAATAATAATAATAATAATAATAATAATAATAATTTTTTCAACTTAATTAATTGACTATGTCCCTCAAAAAATAAACATTATGAGATTTGTTTATTATCTAATTTATAATTTATTATTATATTTATAAATATAACTCATAATATTTTATTTACATTTGTGCATATGCACATGATGATTACTAGTATTTTAAAATATTGCCTTTTAGGTCTTAGGTAAATCCACAATTAATAAAAAAGCTTAATAACTACACAATAATGATTACTGAAATGCACATATGGATATACACATTAAATACCGTCGTATTTTTAAAAATTACATCATCGTCACTCTCTACATATTTAAAAGTAAACAAATTTACCAAAATACGACCACGCTACAGAATTCACTTCAGATGAATTACACATTAATGTTTGTAATAATACACATTAGTGCAACAATATATTCTGCCAAATGACAAAAATGTCACTGAACGAAAAATCAAAAGTCCTTATAATTACAAGAATGTCACCGCCCATTTGACCTCGGAGCATTTGACCAGATCTGCAGCGTTGATACATCACATCGAACAATATGATTCATTTTTATTTCTTTCGCTATTGCTCTACTTCTATTTACCTATCTATATATTTGTAAATTGCATGGCAGCATATAACCAATTCCCTTGTCCTACTCTTGTGGATCTTGAGGGCACTCTCAACACACACAGAGCACAAATATTTCCCCCACACACACATATCCAACTTGAGTCTCTCTCACATTCTCTTCTCTACAGCTTTTGAGCATGGCATCAAGTAAATCACGCAGCAACAAAAGGTCATCATCAACCTCAACATCAACCACCACAATCATCATCTTCATACCACTCTCTCTCCTCCTCCTATGGCTCCTCACTTCCAACACCTTCTCCCCTACCCAATCCCCATCCCGGCCCGCCACAACCACCACGAACACTCCAGAGCCCGTAAAGCCCATCTCCCGATACCAAAAACCTGAAACCCACCACGTCGACCACGAAGACATTCCCACCCACCTTCCCACCCACGACAATGACGACGGAAACGAAAAACCCGACGACCGAAAAGATGACCACTCCAATTCCAATAACAACCAAGAAACGGAAAACAACGAGAGCACAATCACGGCCCAAACAGGAGAAGGCGAAGAAATTCATGACGAGATCACGGACAAGGATCAACGGGAGCGAATCGACGAGCACCAGAGGCGAGAAGACGAGCAGATGATGGAACCGCCACATAAGAAGGAGGATTTGGAGTCGCGGGACCCGCGTGGGGCCATAAGCCGGGACCAGATCGAGCACGACGAGGCCCCCGTGGACGAGTCGAGCGACGACGACGACGACGCGCAGAAGCCGTGGTCCACGCAGGCGGACGAGTCGGTGCACGAGAAGGAGAGGCGGAGGTCTTCTTCGGATAGTCGAAACGGAAGCTACGAGTACACGTGGCGGCTCTGCAACGCGACAGCTGGCGCGGACTACATACCGTGTTTGGACAACGAGGAGATGATTTCGAAGATACACAACAGGAAGCACCACGAGCACCGGGAGAGGCACTGCCCCGAGCCGTCCCCCGACTGTCTAGTGCCGCTGCCCAAAGGGTACAAGAAGAGGATTGACTGGCCTCAGAGTAGGGATAAGGTATATATATGCCATTTTGTTATACAATTTTTTTTTTTTTTTTTTATGTTTAGTATTGTGTTTTGTGTTATTTATTTTGATGATGACGTGGCAGATATGGTACCATAACGTGCCGCACACGACGCTGGCTGAGGTTAAAGGGCACCAGAACTGGGTGAAGATGATGGGGGAGTTCCTCACCTTCCCGGGAGGTGGGACCCAGTTTATTCACGGCGCCTTGCATTACATCGATTTTCTGCAGGAGGTGAGATGATGTGGCAAAGCAATGATAACTAAAACAAAGTATATATATTCAATACAAAATAAAGGAATTAAGGATAATTGCGTTTAGGTCTTAAGACATAACTGTGATGTTGTTCAGGCAGTGCCGGATATTGGATGGGGGAAGCACAGCCGAGTGGTGCTCGACGTTGGCTGTGGGGTAGCTAGCTTTGGTGGTTACCTATTCGAAAGAGATGTTCTGGCAATGTCTTTTGCGCCAAAAGACGAGCATGAGGCACAAGTTCAGATGGCGCTCGAACGAGGGATACCAGCAATATCTGCTGTGATGGGCTCTCAAAGGCTGCCCTTTCCTAGTAAGGTCTTTGACATTGTGCACTGCGCACGTTGCCGGGTCCCTTGGCATGCAGATGGTAATTATCTCTATACATAATATATAACTACCTTTTCAAAAGTATTATCTAATTTATTTTTTTTTTTCTTTCTTTGGGTTCTCTATTCCCATTGAAGGTGGTGCTTTACTTCTGGAGTTGAACAGAGTACTTCGTCCAGGAGGCTACTTTGTGTGGTCGGCAACTCCAGTTTATCAAAAGCTCGAAGAAGATGTACAAATATGGAAAGGTAACAACGTTCCAAACAAAAACAGAACTAGTGACAAAATTACCTTCAAGTTGGTGGCTTTAGAGCTTTGGAATTTTTTTTAATCCCACAAAGGACAATATAATTGTCACTAAAATTGGCATCTAGGGACCAGATATAAATTTCAAAATGGTATTTCAAACAACAAATTTATAAAATTCTAGGGGAGCTAAAATAAAATGGCCTTTTGTTGTTCTTGCAGAAATGTCTAACCTAACAATAGCCATGTGTTGGGAGCTGGTCACGATCAAGAAAGACAAGGTGAATTCAGTTGGTGCAGCTATTTATCAGAAACCAGACTCGAACGATTGCTATGAGCGAAGAAAGCAAAAAAACCCACCAATGTGTAAAACTGATGACGATCCTAATGCTGCATGGTGAGTTCGACAGCAATAAAAGTTAATAACCAAGAGAATGAAATACAAAATTTTATTTAATGATAAAACAGTAACCAAGTAAAGCTTCCCAGCAGAATGGTTCTATATATCCAACACAAACTAATCTATCTTTTGCCCAACAAATTATATTTTACAATATAACTCTTAATGTTTAAACTGACATTATTATAACAGGTACGTACCATTGCAGTCGTGCATGCACCAAGCGCCAATTCAAGAAAACGAGAGAGGGTCCCAATGGCCTGAAGAGTGGCCCGAACGACTCCAAACGCCACCTTACTGGCTCAACCGATCCCAGATGGGCGTTTATGGAAAACCGGCTCCTGATGACTTCACTTCAGACTATAAACACTGGAAAAAGATGGTCAGTGAGTTGTACATGAATGGCCTCGGAATTAGCTGGTCCCACATCAGAAATGTCATGGACATGAGAGCTGTTTACGGAGGGTAAGTACAATTTTTCTTTTT